GCCTTGCTGGTAGGCACCTCCAAGGTGAGACAAGGCACAACATCCCTATATCCCCCCTCGCACCACCCGGGAAGTCACAGAGAGGCTGTACTGATGTCCTGGGGGTGTGTGACTTAGAGGCCTTCTGGGAAACGTGCTGTGAGAGACTAACACATGGGATTTAAATTCAGATCAAAATCTGTACTTCCCTTTGAACTCCTTTTCATGTGTCAGAAGAGGCTAGATCATGGGTTGCACTGAGGCTTTATGAGCAGATCTCTGGAGGATGTGTATCCACTGAAGCAGTAGGAGCCATCAGCAGAAGAAAGTAGTTGTGAAATGCTTCTGCTACTGAGCTGCTGCTCTTAGCATGTACTAAAGGGAATTGATGTCTTCTTTGGGGGGCTGTGGTGGCTAAGTAAGACAGTCAGGGTCAGGGAAGAGTGTTGCTTCATTATAGTGTATTTAATTATGTTTGCTTTCCAGCAGACAACTTCAAGCAAAAATTAGCTGTACCACCTTGCCCCTGCTCTCATATGCAAGAGGTCAGCAGGCAAAGCAGAGTTTTAGAGAAACTAGCATTTTATAATGCCATTAAGAAAAGCACAAGTACAAAACAAGAACTGTAAAGCAATGCAATTAAGATGACTTAGGTCGAGCCCCAGAAGCTGCTATTTCATGTGCCTTGCAAAACATCTCTGTAATAGAAAATGTCTAAGCTGTCTTTGGCCACTTCTCTCTCCCTCAGCTGCTGAAAGCTTTTCAGGCTTTATTACACATTGGCTGAGGTGGTCTCCCCGTGGACTCCTTTGCAGTTTTATGATTAGACAGTCTCCTAGAAGGGGAAGAAGGTTTATTTTCAGTCACTGAAAAGGAATGTGGGGTTGAATTCAGATAGCCAGCTTCCTGAGCAAGTACAATAAAACAGGGGCTCCTCCATTAAAAAGGACAATAGCTACTTCATCACTGCTGATCATGCACTGAAAGAACTGTGCAAACAAGTTTGTCATCTATACTACCCTAAAGATAGTTGGAGATACTTGGCCACATGGACTTGAATATCATAAATAGCATAATGAAAACTTTACTCTGACACTACATAGCACAGCAAAGGGAACTAATAGCCTAAGGGTGGTCTTTGTTGCTCCAAAGCTCCTAACAATATCAGTAGCTACAGCAGTTGGAGTAGCATAGTCTGCTAATTACTCCTCTTGTGAGGAGTAAGGATACATAATACAGGATTCTGGTTCCAGCAACATGAAGAGGAATTTCTCTGTTCAATTCAGTATTGGCATAATTTGATTCTAGTACTTTCCACATCCTTAGGTTTCCAAGATAGCAGGTTTTCTCATACAAAGGAAATTACACTGCAGTCCTCTAGAACCAGCTTTGTGTTACTTTTCTAATAAAGAAAAGAAAGCAGGGAAGAGCTGCTATATTCTTACTCCCCAGTGCTCATCATCACTGCTAAGCACCCTGGTATCATAGGTGAGACTTAATGTGTTTGCTTTTGCTAAATACTTTTATTTCTATTGCAGAATTGCCTCCAAAGATGATGCTAGCAAAAATTAAAAAAGGTAATTATATTTATATAGTAATCTAAGAGTCTTATGCAACGATATGGTATTTAGCTTGTTTTGATAAATTCTTTATGTATTGTTCCAAGCTGTCTCCTAACAAAACCAGCAATGTCAGACTGAAGTGAGTTCTTACTCCTAATCTTCTTCTGTATTCATCAAAGTCTTTGAGAACAGTTGTGGTCAGTGATGATGGTAGCTACAGTCTCTCCTCCACCAAAATAAACACATCATGACCCTTGTTTTCTGTTTCTTCTATAAAGAGAAGAGGACTCTGCAGAGCTTCCAAGCATTGTATAATTAGCCATGATGTCGAACCCTTATTGTGTATTTTGAGAATAATTTTGAGAATGATCTAAATGCTTCCTCCACTGTTAGCAAAAACAAGTGAAAAAATCACTCTGAAACAGAAGTTTTCAAGCATTGCCTGTGTAGGAGCTAACAGAGATTACAGCAGGTCCTCCAAATACACACTAAGCAAGGGGGCAAGTTGCCCAGTCTTGAAGGGGCAGACTGGTTACAGAAATTTCAGTGCCTGATACCCAGCCTTCCTAAATAACCAGTGCTTAAGCACTGAGAGTAACTTGTCTGAAGCACCATTGAGGTAACCTGTGTTCCTAAGAAGGATATTTAAGTGTGACACCTACAACAGAGCTTGTGAAGATTTATTCCACACTTCCCCTTTCCACATTAGACACTTACCTGGAGTGGGCCCAATGCTGGTAGCCAGAGGTCCCCAAATACAGACTTAAGTAAATTTCTGCCCAAGTCAGCTGCTCTTTCTCTGCTTACCCCCCTTCCACTTGCTTCCTCTCACATTGGTGTGCATTTAACTCCTTGTAGAAATACCAGTATTTGCTCCTTTTCTGTTTTCTACTGTCTTTTTCATTCTTAATGCATTTAAAAAGGAAAAAAAAAAAAAAAAAAAAGTGATTCTATGTTATGGAAGTTACTGAAGTTGATTTTCCACAGATGCTGCAGACATTTGGCACTACTTCCTTTAAGGTCTGACCCTAGTTCCATGCTTTCAATGACAAAACAGAACACATCCTGTTAAATTCAGCTTGTGGCTATCATCAACATCATTACATGTTTACTGTTGTTTCCACCAATGTAGTCTTGAATATTGAGTCTCTGGAGAAAGACATGGCATTTAGAAGTATAATACTAGTTTGTATAGTTAGGATTACATTGCCTTCATGACCTCTTTCTTCAAAAGTGGCTATAAAAGTTAGCTGTGAGCTCAACTTATTTGGACTTAATTTCCTTTCTCTACAAGAACATTTCAGTATAAGGATTTTCTAAATGAAGAGCAGCTGTTTCTAAGAAGCAGTCCTAATCCTGTAGTCTGCTTTACATTCCCTTATTATTTTCTGCCTTCTTTTCTCAGTTAATAGCCATCTAATAATCTTTTTTCTGTTATTTCACAATATTATGCAATGATCGATTGAAATACAAGATATTGGCAATTATTTCTTGAAGAAACACTAATTATGCGGTATTATCAAGTTTTATATAAATATATGTTGTGCATCAATTGAATGTAATAATATTCTTGTTCTAGCAATGATTTTTAATCCATAGAATCACAGAATACATACTTGACTAAAATAGATATAATAAGATGGACTACTTAACAGCTGTATAACAACTCCAGAAGTGTTAGGGACTTCAAAGTAATTGTTTTACAGAAGTTTTTATTAAGATGGCAGTCCTCTGCATACTCTTTTAGTCTATGTATTCTACGAAGTTTCACAGGTAAGGAAGACCGCTATAGGTCGTATCTGATATGACTGTCTCATATGTCACTTTTCTCTGCAAGTCAAGAATTGCAGTCAAGAATTGTATTTCAAAGTATCTATCAGCAAACGTTTGAGAATATCTCTATATATGTTTAATTATTATTTCCATTATTTTCTTTTAAGACTATCTTTTTGAGAAAAAAAAAAAAATATGGTGAGAAATTTGCATTTGGGGATTATTGGATGGCTATGTTTTCATCTGTGCTAGAAGCCATTAAATCATGCCTTGATATTCAGGCAAATTACACCACATTCACTTATTAATTTTTTCTTGGTTGATATTGTAGTTACTGATTGCAAACTAGGTACTGGGACTGAAAAGTGATAGTTAGAATAGCTGCTCTGTCTCCCAGTTTCCTGTATCCTTTTATAGCAGTAGACTGTTCCAGACAAAATGCATTGTTAGATTTTATTTTTTTTTAAAACTCTTTCATTTTTCGTTCTATTTTAACATTGCTTTCTGTATAATCCACATTAACATTGGCTAAAGTTACTACATTTATGACAAGAATGTGTACTTAGATTCAAATGATCCAGCTGAGATTCAAGTCTTGTTTTAATTTAGAGTAAAACCTAATTTTAATCTTAAAGCTGCAGTGTAGGAGGACACTTAATGGAATCATTAGTTCTCATTTTCCAAGATATAATTTACTGGCTACTTGAACAGATGAGGGAAAAGAAAAAAAAAAAAGGGGGGGGGGGGAAGAGCAATAAAAATGTCCCTAAAATGCTCCAAGATAATGTTGCAGTGTTATATATAGAACAAGAAAGCAGCAATTACTTTAGAGTTGGTCTTTAGTCCAAGGTTTACTTTATAAATTTCCTCCAGTTCTATTGTTGTCTTGGAATGTGTGTTGATTTGTTTCTTCCCCCACACTGTTCTTCATCTACCATTTTCTGTAGAAAAGCCCAACTTCTGCTTTCATGAGAAAGACCCTGGAATCTGCCGAGGCTATTTTTCCAGGTATTTCTATAACAAAGAGACAAAGTTATGTGAAGTATTCAAGTATGGTGGGTGCCTAGGAAACCAGAACAACTTCAAGAATTTGGAAGAATGCCAGACTACCTGCCAAGACAACTGTAAGTTGTTGTCCTTGTTCTTAATCTTATTCTTGTATAAACAATGTTGTGTTTTGAAGGTATCTTTCATAGAGAGTTTTCTCATTACACTTTTCTCATGACAGTTAATGTAAAATCTGCCAGCTGTTTGGCTTTATAATACCATAAAAAGCTAATACAGATTTTTTTAGCCCAAACATCTGAATACATTCTTTTCAAAGGATAGTGGGAAACCTGTTCCTCACTTTTGAATGATCTGGTTGTGCAGCTTAGTCTACAAAACAGCCATGCAGACTGACCATAGATCATTCATCCTACTAGTTCATATAAATTGTTCTATATCAGAATATAATAATGTTCATAACTCCTCTCCCCTTCACAAAGTACTTCATTTTATCCATAAGGCAACTGTCTTTTCCCACCCAGAGCCTCTAGGCCCTTTTGTCTTATTTATCTCTAATGGACCTTTTTCTGAGACAGAAAAGAACCATAGTGGGTCTTTCCTATTCTAAATGTGAATAAGCTCAAATTCTCCTTACGAAAATTACAGAGACTATGGTTCTTTTAAAAAGACAGGGATACAGAAGCATGTCCTTTTTCCCTGCCTTTGCTGAGGCATTTCTTCCTGGGCTGTGGTTCCACTTTGACCTTCTGGACTAGCAGAATGTTTTGTTTTTTTTTTCCCTGACTTTAATGTGCAATCACACCTCTATGTAAATTTGTATGAATACCCAAGAAGGAAGAAAGGGTTAGGGGCCATAGTTTAAATAGGGCAGAGTTTTTACCTTAATGATATTGAATCACTGATACCAATTGTTTGGGGTTTTTTTTTCCGTATCATTTTCCTTTCATTTTTCTTTTAGCAAATGTATTGCCAATTGTTCCAGCTGAAGAGCATCCTAACACTGTGAACAGTAGTTCCCCAGTGGAAGAACCCAACCAATTCCCTGGGATTTTTGGTAACAATTTGCTTTGGCTGTTTATAGTTACCCTTTCTTAATGCAGACACTCTTTGGCTTGTGCACTCATTCTCCCATTTATTTGAAGTTATGTTTGTTAGTTGAAATACATAAGCACAGTGAAGTCAATAACATTAATCCTAACTTCTTAGCCATTTTCTTGTCAGTAATGCATAGTTTGAAAAGGCTTACAATTGCAAAGGTTAGAATGTCTGCTAGCAATATAAAAATAACTTTACCAAACCAAAGTTTTATTTAAATCTTACATGGGTAAAATTAAAGAAGAAAAAGGCATCCACCCCAAAGTTGCCTCAGCACATCAGTTTCCTATGCCTTTGGTACTTAAAGAAATGCTGCATGGAGCAAGGCAAATGGGTAATCTTAGCTTATTTTCAGAGCTTTGTTATGTCTGCATAACCTATCACTGTTTCAACCCATTTTTTTTCCATTTTAGTAAATTTGTGGCCAACTGCTCCAGATGAGGAGAAATCCAACACTCTGAACAGCACTTCTCCAAAGGAGGACCACAACCAATTTCCCATTTTTTTTGGTAAGAGTTCAGTTTTGCAATCCTTATGTCTCAGTTTTTATGTGTAATCTGAATTGCTTTTCTATTTCTACCCATTGTCCAACATATCTGAGACTAAAGAATGGGGGTTTATCTATGTCAAATGTTTTGATAAGCAGAGAAAATCAAAGCAAAGAAATACTGCTGCTCACAGATCTTGCATAAATATCAGAAAGTGGAAGACTGGCAACATCTAGACCTCTTCTGAATGTGTCCTTTCTGAAGGTCTGAGAAATACAAAAATTTAAAGACTAACAGCAAAAGCAGTGATGCAAAACTCTTTTAGACAAAATGAATGGTTTTGTTGTCATCTAATTGGCAGCTGATTTAAAGCTTCTTTTACCCATTAAAAATGGACCATATTTGGATTTTGGAATATAGCACAGTACATTTATCATAACACATTTTTATTTTCACTTGGGCCATAGTAAACTCAGTTCTTGGTTTGGGTATAATCAAAGTGGGCATGAATTAGTTTTGTGTTTATTTCAAGGTATTTTTGCACTATGTATTGTAATGCAGGTGAGAATCTGGACCTTTACTGCAGAGTGCTGGGTGTCACTAGTTTCTGCAGCTGGACACTGTCCACTCTAGATTGCTGGTACTTGCTCACACTATAAAGGGTGATTGAATTTGAGGCATGTCATTTTTATGATTCACAGTTGTGCAAGAGGAAACAAGGAACAGTTGGAAAAAGCCTGAACGTTCTTATCAAGTATTTCTGTTGTGTTTTTTTGCATTTACACTTGTGCTTTTGGGGATTGAGTGATGGCTTACAGATTCATTAAGGTTTTTGTGGTTTCAATGATCTGTAAGATAATGGGCACCTAGGATAATGCTCCTGTACTCTTTGCTTAGAATGGTGTGTGTAATAAAGCTGGAATGTGTGTTGTATTCTGTTTTTTTTTTTTGCCTTTACTGTGATCCACATGTATTGTTGGGTTGAGATAAGTTTCTCTGATAGTTGGATTGTTTACCACATACAAAGCATCAATATGCTCTGTTATTAAAGTTACTGAAAACAGTAAATCTTTTGACAACTTGTTTTACTGAAAAATGTTATAATGATTTAAGGCCTAGTAATAAGTCTAGGGACATAAGAGCATACATATTCCCTGAAGGTTTTTGACTCATAATATGAATCCCCAAATCCATAAAACAACTAATCTCTGCAGGCAAAGCAGATTCACTACGATTTCTCAGAGGACACAGAAGGGTTCTGTCAGCAATAGTGGATTTTCTGGTAGAGCAGATTTTGGGAGGGAGAGACAAGGGTAAGAGAAAGGGAAGACTCAAAGGTTGGTGGAAGTCAGGGAGCGAGCATCTATGGAGTCAGTGTAGCTGGATGGGTCAGGCAAGAGAAGCGAGCTTGGAAGGACCAGCGAGTTCCAGAGGAAAGTGAAGATCCCACAGGTTCTTCCCAACCGTGTAACCTTTGCCTTGCACAAGTCTGCCCCCTGCAGCCACCTGCTGCCATTCTGTACCGACAGAACCGTGCCGTTCAGGCTGCTGGGATGGGCTAAAATCCTGTGCTTTTGTGCAACCCTGCTACAGGAGGAGGAAAGGGTAGGACCAAGACCGACAGCTGATTTCTCCACAGAGTTGTGGACAGCGTAACCTCCATTCCTGAATGAAGTTGCAGGGTAGAGCCACCTCACACAAGTATGCACTGTGACTCCCTGTGGCCCTCGGTGAGGGGCAGGGACCTGACTGTGCACATATGAGATCAGGATGGACTGTTGGGATGGAGTGGTTGATGCCCATCTTCTCAAGCACAGGCAAAGTATCTGGTCTGCTGCTGTAACATCTATTTTGCATGTGTTTTAGCCTGGCTAGGCATTTTCTTTTTTTTTTAAATTCATGACCACTATTTTAAGAAAGTTTTGCAAGGAGTTGTCTCTTTTAGAGAACTTTACTTCACAATTGAAATTTATTTCATCTTGATTTAAAGAAAGAATACATATTATGGGTGGTATGTGACTCTGTAATGTGTCAGATTAATAGATTTCCAACAAAATTGTTGACTTTCACAAAATTCAACTCTTCTGTTGCCAAACAAAACAAACGTTTTTTTTTTTTTCCTTCTGCATTCAAACATGAAAATTCTAGTGCTATGTCTCAGCAATGAACTTTCTTCAGCACATGAAGATTGTTCTGGTCTTACCCTACTGCAAGATCTAATCTAACTTTTATTCTGGGAAAGTTAAGAGAATGCGAAGCCAAGAAACAAACCCTTTGTTTTTATGATCTATGGTAAGAAATTGAGTGCTATACTCTATGTTTGATTTGTGAGATCTAAGTGGGATGCAGGATCAAAAGTCAGTTTTCAGCTTGGTAAATATGGAGTGGCATCCAGAGACAGTTCCTGTTAGTGCTTCTTAAAGTCAGGGCCATATCTTTTGCTGATATAAACTGACACAGTTCTGTTTGCTATAATGGATCTGTATCAGTTTATACCTATAGAGTACTGTCAAGTGCAGCTGACTCTATTTTTGTAATTGCTTGTCTACTTGAAGATTCTTTTATTTTCTCCTTGCTGCAACCAGAAATGAGATACTGAGGTCTACATATATCAAAAATCTGGCAAGAAATCTGAAGCTTCATGGATGTCACTCAGCCATGCCTAGTGAAAGAGAATACAGTAAGCATTGTTCCTCAACCAGCCCACAAAGATCACTTCAAACTTTCTTTTCTGTACTGTGATCAGTTAACATTCAATTGTCACACAACCCCAGCTAAGCCTGAGGGCTAACAGTTATTGTCCTGATGCTGGGTTGGGACTATTTTTGATAAATTTGAGTCTGTAGTTGAATACACACTTCAGAGATTCTGAAGTGTGATCATGTTATCTCTTCACAACACAGAGAAGGGTGTCTGGGATTCAGGGAAAGGCTGTATTATAATAAGTAAATCTTAAACAATGCACATATAAAGATCGTTTAGGTAGCAGTGACGTTTAAGATACAATAGTCTTTTATAGGTATGGACAATAACATTTTTTATCTACTGCTTATTTCATGTAATTAGCTTGCCTATCTTTTCAGAAACAAAAAATTAAATCTTGCAGACTTGGGTTATGTTATCTCACCAAAACAAAATCTGTCTACATGTCTGCATCATCAAGAAAAAGAAGTAACAGAAGCATCAGATAACACAATAACTTACACTGTATTTTGCTGTTGTAAAGCCTGACACCCATTTGAGAAGCTCCTGCAAAGGTAGTGGCAGGAGTTCCCAGGGTTCACTTGAGATGAGTTCCAAAATGTTTTGATGGAATTGGTATGTTTGTAATGAACTTTGTTTCATTGTACAGGCATTTTCCAGAAGAAAACTTCACACCTGGAAATGTTTGGCTAACTCAGCTTGGAAGCTTTAACTTGTTCTTTGCCTGTCTGAATTGTAAATTCTTTTTTCTCCATGCCTGATCATGACCTGGCTTCTGTTGCATATTTATGGCAAATAATACAGATAGAAAATCCAGTTTTATGAGCTTGCTATTGGGTATTTAAAACCTCTTTAAATCAAATATTTTGGATAAACAGAATAACATGAACTTAAGGGTGAAGACAGAGTGTAAGGCTTGTTGCTGTCAATGTAAGTAACCAGTTGATTTCTGTAGAATTGCATCAAAGGCCATAGGATCAGCCACATACTTACATGTATAAAAACATAAGAAAGCATTTAATGACATTTATTTTTAGGTTCATATGATCCACTTGATGTTAAGATGTACAAGTTATGTCATGTAATGAGTAATGCTATTTGCACTGTTGAAAAAAAATACTAAGATGTAATCCCAATTACAAAAAAATAAGTAGTTTAAAACAGCATTTTTATCTCAAGTAGCCTTATAAATAAAGTTGATATCTGTAACTCAGAGATCTATAAAGACTAGAGCTGGGGAAAATAATTCTGATAGTGGGGCATGTACTGCCTTTTTTTTTTTTACCATTTTCAGTGTATAACCCTTCTTCTCTGTAGTTTTGTGGATTGTGGGATTTGCTTTTTGCCTTTTTTTTTTCCTTCATACAAGAAGCAGGTGGTAAAACATTTCAACAACTCTTAGAAAAAATGAGGTTGTAAAACCAAAATGTCTGAGAGAGAAACTCAAGAAACAGGCATAATACCTAAACTGACTTTAACATCAAATACATAAGTACAGTGTTAGATGCTGGGCTGAGCAAAGAAAAATAACTGGGTCAGATGCTCCTGGTGACTGTTAACATAGTGGCTCAGGGGCTTATAGATTGTCCTACCAATAGAGATGTTGGGCTGGGCATGACATGGTACCTACTTTATGTTTACAGTAACTTAAAGCTAACAGATCTTTTAATATACTGAAATAAATCAATGATCCTCAACAGACAGGAGATTATGATAAGTAATTTAATATTTATTTTAATATGCTATTCTGTTGAAAAAAAAATGGCTGCTATCTAGTGAAACTAAGAGGTTTACTTCATGAGCTGTTTGCTTCTTTGAGTGTGAAGAGTATTTTGAAGATGAACAGAACAGTGTTTGACAGCTGGGGCATTTCTCTGGCAACAATATAGACAAAGAACAACATAAATATTAGAATGAGTACAAGAGGGATTCTAAATAGCATTTGGATTCTGCTCTGCCAGTTGCATTATATGTGCTTAGGTAGTTCTTATCCATCAGTAACCACACGCCCTGGCTCCCCTAAAGCTTACAGTCCTTGTGAGAACTCCTCGATGAGAGGACTGTGGAGTCTCTCTGGAAAATTCTACATACCAGATAAGTAATTTACATTACAAAGTATATCTTTAAATTCTGCTACACAATTAACAAACCTTTTCTGTTTGGCCCTTTCATCACTGGCAAGCCTTTCTGCTTTGTTCTTTTTAGCCTCAGAAATTATCAGGTCAAAATAGGTAAAACATTTTTTTAAAAAATGTTACTGAACATGTGCTTTGAAAGCTAACATTCTTTTCAGCTAGAGAGGGATGCAATTAGTTCAATGCACAAGAATTCTTAGAGTGGTACCAAAAGCATTTCATTAGTCAGTTTAACTACCACCTTCATTATAAATAAAACAGTGGATGCAATATAAATTATATCTCATTTTGGGCTCTTACTCTGGATCCACAGTGAACCATGCTCTTACAATAATGTCACAATTTAAAAAAAAGAAATTAAGTAGTGCTCATTTTAGAACCTGAACCTCCCTTAATCTATCTTGAAAAACCAACTCATTACTGGTTTTGCATTTCAGGGTTCTTTTTGAACAGTATGATGTTGCTGACACAGCTTTAAGTATATTATTTATTTCATTTTGCTGTCTTAGCTCTTCATAAACCACCATTCTGTTTCTTTCCCAGAAATTTTCCGTACTTTCTCACCGTGTCAGTTCAGCTATTAATCTTGGCATATGAACTTTTTTCAGCAGGTGTAATGTCTAAGGCACGTAAGATGTAGTACGTTCTTTTCAGATGTTTTCTTGTCAGCTTTTTTAATTGCCCAAGTTAATTCATAATTTCTTTACTTTCATCTGCTTCACACTTTTGTGACAGCAAGGTGTCTTCAGCTCTGTTGTAACCCAAATTATTCCCTATGTTTTTTACTTGGTTTCCCCTCTGAATTACTGCTACCTGGCTTTGTAACTTCAACAAGGCCATCTGACAAGCTTCACTTTTCCTCTTATGCATTTGGATCTCAGCTATCTCAATTCTGCTGCTCCTTGAAGGAGAAGAACGCTCCTTCAGATCCCTCATAACTGGTGACACAATGTCTCCCATTCAGTTCCTTGCATCCTCTGCAGCAATTGTATCAGTTCTAATTTTGTATATGAGTCACTCCAAGGTGACAGATGATGGAGTTGCTCCAGGTTTGGGAATTCTGGCGTGGATTTGCTTCTTGAACTTGTTCCAGTGCTCAGGTACTTCGGATATCTCAGGTTCATCATCTTCCAGTGTTTCAGTTCTCACACTGTCACTTGCAGCACCACTGAAGAAACAAACCATCAGCCTACTCCTTGGAATGGTAAAAACCTAACAGCAGCACTAAAGCACCAGCACTTCACTTGTTTTGTGCACTTACTTTCCACATTCAGTCCTTTGTTATTCTATGAGTTATTTCTTGATAATTGTTCAGTGTTTTCCAATAGATCGACCTCTATTATTTATGTCAAGCTTTCTGTGTTTATAGGACAAACCAAATATTAAGGTATTGAATCTGATACTGGAAATGCTGGGCACTTGTGCCTTCTACTTGATTTCAAAATGTCTAGAAGGAATTAGGAGAATTCACTTCATCAATTATCATAAATAATTTTTAAAGCTGTCCAAGTTTAATGTATTTCACTTTCTACAATTACATCACTTGAAGCTACTCTAATTGAATTTACATGGTATCTCCTATCACAGAAATGGCAATGTTATCACTATATACATAGGAAAGAAACCTTGCTTTCAAGTAAGCTTTTGCTGGCTTTTGGAATTCAGAGAGACAATAACATTTGCTGTGGTATTCTTTGTAATCATAAAAAGACATATGCTTACGTAAAGTATCCTGGATTTTCAGGAGGGCAGAATTAACTTTACTGGTAAATTTCATATACATTTCAAACCTCTGCAAGCTTCAAATATCATATATCAACAGAAAACTGGTAAACTGCAGTCTTATCTCTAACCTTGTTTTTCTTGGTATTTCTAGAACCACCCTCTACCCCTTCTTTGTGTATGACCCCTATGGACAGAGGACTCTGCAGAGCCAAAGAGTTAAGATTTTTCTACAACTACCCAACTGGAAGATGTCGTCCATTTAGCTACAGTGGTTGTGGTGGGAATGAAAATAATTTCACCTCCAGAAAATCATGTTTGAGGATCTGCAAGAAAGGTATGGGAAGTGACACTGTCATAAGAGGTAAATATTCTGCAGGCTGAAATGATCTTGCAACTTTTGGTAGTAAATACTGCCTGATAAGATGTTATAATTGGAAGTCATATAAAAATAACAATGGAAATCAGAAGAGAGACATAGCTAGAGAAAGAAAGATGGACAGTAAAATACAGTGTACAAGAACAGAAATAAGAGAACTTGGCATATGAAGACTTTAGGTAAGACAATGCTCTTTTTTCTTTATTCAAGAACATCTCTTGAAAACAAAACTTGTCTTTTATTTCTGACGATCTTGGATGTGTTAGTAATGCAGCATCTAATGGTACTTTCTTCATTTTGCCTTTAGGATTCAATAAAAAAAAAGGTGAAAGAAGATTAATTAAAATCAAGAAGAAAAAAAAGAAACAGTCAGTAAAGGCTCTGGGCGAGGAAATCATCCCTGAAAGAATACAACTTTGATTTTTATGTAACTGTGAAGTAAACTACTATCCACCTGTGAATGAAAACCTTTAGTCTACTCCATTTAAATATATTTACTGTACTGATTATTTTGATTACCTATTAAGCTGCTTATATTTTTATTATGTATTCCTTATTCACATTAATAAACTTTAACTTTTACTTTGACGGGTCTTAAATTGGAGTTTGATTGTATGTAATTGTCAGAGGTGAAACAGGACAGAACAGGCTGTGTGGATGTATAACTCATAATGTTTTAAAAGCAGGCAAGATTCAAGTATATTTTATTACCCTTTTTTGAAATCTATTTTTGTGCTATAAAAAGCATAATGCTTGTCAAAGAGTAATACTTTGTCAAGCAGAATTGTTTCAATCACAGATCAAAATATAGTTCTATTGCTATAAAGAGGAAATAGACATTGGCTTTCTCTTAATCAGATTTATTTTAGGTAATGTAAGCTAGATTTAACTCCATCAAAGTGCATATAATTACATGATTCTAAAATGAATGTGATAACAGAATTAACCCATCACAACCCAGGAAGAGAATAGTAAAGCTGTAAATGCATGAAGCAACGTGTCAGATATTTTCAAAGATTTAAAAATATAACTGCTGAGGTCATTGATTTTTGTCCTTGTTACTGAACTAGACTCATCCTTAGCAAGTTAATAATTTCCAAAAATCCATATTATTTGTTTTTTACAAAAGCCAAAACAAAATCCTTTCACAGAAATAAATACAGTTGCTTTAAAGATAACGCTATGCTTACTTTCCAGGTGACTTTGAGGGTTTTTTTGGTTAGGTTTCGGTGGGCTTTTAAAGACTAACATGAAAGAGTGGTGCAGTTCCTGCCTTTCTCCAAGGCAGCTCTCTCATCTTGGCCAGATCTTTTACAAGATTTTTAAAGGAAAAGGAAAAAGGGCTACTTGGTTTCCTATTAAGGTTTTCCAAAGCACCTTGCTGACTATGAAATAAGACAGCAGGGTATTCTTGAAACTCTTCTCTGTCTTCTTTGATGTTGTATATTTTTTTTAATGTATGGTGTTTTCTCTTGAAGCATAAAAATACTGATAGTTACATTTCTGTTTGTGAGAGGCGGTGTGGAAATAAGTAGCTAAAATAGATGTGAGTGGTTTAGACACTACAGCAAGGAGAAAGGACAGCAAACACAGAATAATAAATGATCTGTTGGACTAAGCTGCTTTTGTCTGTACACTGTGCATCACATGTGATATCATAGATTCATAGAATCCTTTCGTTTGGAAGGGACCTCCAAGATCATCAAGTCCAACCATTGAGCCATTAGGGCTCTAAAGTCGTCTGCTAAAACAGATCAGAATCTGTCAGTTTTATATGCCTTTGGACTAACTCCACAAAGAGGCTAAGCCTTACTGCTGAAAATGAAAGCATTTATGCCTTCTAAATATCTGATTGGGTAAGTAAAAGTCACAGATACTAATACAGAAATACTATCTAAATCTCTGTTCGATGCCTAAGTGACTCTTTTAATCTAGGATCTATTAAGCCAGTTGAGAAAAATGCTCATGGAGCTGAATTGTACAGCAGAAAGTATTTATGTAGAGTCTTGTCATGTAAAACATATGAGCACCAAAGAGCTACAACGCAGTAACTATGTAAATCAGTCAAGTGCAGTTCTGACAAGAAACCTGTAAACTCTATAGACTGCTGAAAATGAGTAACATCAGTTCTTTACACAGAATTAATCTGGTTCGTCGTTACCTGCTAGTTGCAGTTCCAGCTTGATCTCTTCTTGTCCTAGTTCATAATTTTTATTGACTTTATTCTCCAGGTATCATCTGTACTCCAGGCACTAGGAGTCAGGTCTGTAGATGCCAGTTGCACTGCACAGGAGCAGGGCAGTAGGTTAAATACTCAGATCAGCTGGAATTTGTCATTGCAGCCAAGTGGTTTAAAGCCTGTGGGTTAAACTTCTCCCAGGCCCTTCCACTCCTAGCACAGGAACTGCCTTAGCACAGCAGTGAATGTGGCCTCTGAGAGCAGGAAGGGTTGCTTTAGGCACAGGTGAGGGCACAAACTGCACCTTTTCTTGTATAAAATTTATGATGAAGGCAGAAAAAATACCTAATCTTCCATTCTTAGTCATAATAATTTCCCATGTGCTGGCAGTATTAAAACACAGGTAGTTGGCACATAACGTGATGTACCTTGGAGTGCAGACAGAGCTGAGGCACATGCAGCTTTGCTTCTCCAGCAGCTCAGTGTCTCAGTAAGGACATTCTGTCTATGGTTTCAGACTAAAGCAAGAAAGAAAGAGTCACGTGCTGGAACGGCCACTTTCTCTCACTGCTGTCTGACAGGCAGACAGTACTATCCCATACACCAACTTAAAATCCTTTCACAAATAAATGCAATATTCCCTAGCATGACTCTGAGGGTTTGACCGTGATTCACATTAAATTAAAACATCTTCTAGAACTTTCAGGTAAAAGAGAATGAAACTCATTCTTCAGGATTGTAAAATCTGTAAGTTTTACAATCATTATTTACAATCATTACAATTATAACCAGAGATTTGATCTGAGAGTGCATGCTCTCCTAGGTGTGTGTTCCAGCTTTGGCCACCACACCAGTTACCCAGCTGTTGCCTTCCTACCTTGTTTTTATATAGCTCTACAGTGCACTCTATTTTTTTCCTGTAGAAAGCTTGAACTGCAGTATGATCTCATCTGAACTTCACCAGCTCTGCAAGAAGTTTCTTTTGTGCTTTTCTCCTTTCATCCATTCATTTCATTGCAAAACCCACTTTGATTGCTCTGGAGGAAATGTGCAGGGTGCCATGAAATCTCTCCTGCTTTGTATGATGGGAGATGACAAGCCGAATCAATTTTACAGGGGTTTGATGAGTTTCCATGTATCATCTGACCTGCAATAACTTGGTATGTGCCCTTAGTCCATACAGATGAAGAAGAAAAATATCTTTGAGAAATAATTTAAAGTCTTTTTATGTATTTTTTTCTCCTCACATTTTTATTGGTATTCTCTTTTCTTTCTCCTTTTCACTTTCTATCCCCTACTTCTCTTTCCTTTCCAGTTCATTTGGGCCAGCATTTCTCCCTGCATCTCTAAGCCATCTACTATTTCAAAGCTGACAGATCTATTTACGTTTTGAGAAAGTCTTCACCTTTCTAGATTGTACCTTTCAAACACATTAAAATGGACATCAGGATTAGGTTTCATAACTGGTCATTTCGGTGGTAAGAACGGGATTCAGGTAAAATGGAATACACATTTATGGTTATTAGGTGTTTACACATAAGCTCCTACTGTTTTATTCATAGGCATCCATTTGAGGGGTTGCCCTGCTTTTACCTATCCCCTCAACTCTTTTGGAAGC